TATGGTTTTTTCCCCTATTTTCTTGTCATGGGGCTGCTGTAATATTTCCTCCCACCCAACTCTTCCCCAACACAACCTGTTAACTGAGAAGGTACCACTGAGGAATGCTGCAGAACTTCATGCTCTGCAAAGCAGAAATACCCAACTGCAACCTGTTAGAGACCTTCAGCAATAAGCTCTTTATGTAGCAAATAGAGACCTGGATGCATTGCAGACACAGACAAGGAGGGGGAGATGTTTAGAACACTTACTTTCCGTTAGAGCTTGCCTTGTCCCTAGCTTGGACACCAGAGGGTCTTGCCTCTCATTGAGAGTTGTTTGTGCTGTTTGCATGATGCAAGGTGCCTCAAGGGAGCAGCCAGGACCAGTTATTCCCAATGGGAAGGTGAGCTGGGAGCTGAAAGTGGCCACAAAGCAGAGCACGGTCCCCCTGTGCCTGAGCACAGCAGCAGCTTCCACTGAGAGCCCAGGGGAAACCAAGAGTCAGGTTCATGGTTGATACAGACCAGGAGCAAGCCCAGTTACAGCACAGCCCTGGAAGTGAGCCCAGTGCCAGGACTGAGCTTAAATAGAGCCTGAGCCTATGGCAGAGGGTGTGTGAGAAGGACCCGGGTGATGCTGGCCATGGCAATTACTGTGGCTGCACTCCCTGATGTCTCAAGGAGAGGGGAACTGGGTTTTCCACCACCCAATGCCCTAAACACAGCGGCAGCTCTGCTTTCAGCCTCCTCTGATGTATTCCTGTGCGCAGAGGATGAAAAATGGAGCAGAAAGGAGCAAAGAGCTCCTTTATTGTGTTAATGAGAATCACCCCTCCTCAGTTATGCAAAATCATGGAATCATGGAATGGTTTGGGTTGGAAGGGAGCTTAAAGCTCCTCCAGCTCCAACCCCAACCCCTTCCACTGGAGCAGCTTGCTCCAAGCCCCTGTGTCCAACCTGGCCTTGAACACTGCCAGGGATGGGGCAGCCACAGCTTCTCTGGGCACTCTGTGCCAGCGCCTCAGCACCCTCACAGGGAAGAGCTTCTGCCTAAGAGCTCATCTCAGTCTCCCCTCGGGCAGGTTCAAGCCATTCCCCTTGGCCTGTCCCTACAGGCCCTGATGAAGAGTCCCTCTCTTATTCTATCTGAATAAGTTGCTTCACATGTTGTGTTCTCTTTTCTTGAGGGAATTGTCCAAATGTCTCTATTTTTCATGAAAACTGCATCAGAAACTTTGATTAAAAGCTTAGAAAGTGAGCATTTCACTTCACACCAACTTAAATTAGATTTTGACTGGTTGCCATTGCATTCATTCATTATTCATCACAGTTCTTTGCAGAAGACCACGGTTTCCAAAGGTGCTTATTTTAAACCACAAATTTATTCAGTCTGTCATTGTACAAGTTCATGTTCTTCCAGCAATTGTACAGTTCATTAAACAGAAATGGTGTGTTTGGATTAAATGTTAAAACCCCTCCATCTACTGTTTCATTTAGAGCATCTTCCCCCTCAATAATGCGATGACATACAGAAGGGGATGTGACATGGTCAAATCCACAAAGCACAGACCTGGTACTGAGCATCCAAAAAGGAAAAGATGTGAGGACCACACATCCCAGGAAGATTTTAGTTGGGACACACTTCTGGCCACATGCTAACCTATGTGTGCCTGTCACAGGTCCTTCGCACTGCTCCAGCTCACTTACACGGGATAAATGTATTGGATGCTCATATCAGGTATCACAGAGTCCCAGAGTGGTTTGTGTTGGAAGGGACCTTAAAGCTCTCCACTTCAACCCCTGCCATGGGCAGGGACCCCTTCCACTGGAGCAGCTTGCTCCAAGCCCCTGTGTCCAACCTGGCCTTCAACACTGCCAGGGATGGGGCAGCCACAGCTTCTCTGGGCACCCTGTGCCAGCACCTCAGCACCCTCACAGGGAAGAATTCCTTCCTTACATCCAATCTGGATGCCACCTGTTTCAGTTTGAACCCATCACCCCTTGTCCTGTCACGCCAGTCCCTGATGAAGAGTTCCTCTCCTGCATCCCTATAGGCCCCCTTCAGACACTGGAAGCTGCTCTGAGGTCTCCAAGCAGCTTCTCTTCTCCAGGCTGAACAGCCCCAGTGTTCTCAGCCTGGCTCCATACGGGAGCTGCTCCAGCCCCTGAGCATCCTCATGGCCTCCTCTGGACTTACTCCAGCAGCTCCATGGCCGCCTTATGTTCCCTGCAGAGAAGGACTTGGGGGTGTTGGTTGATGAGAAAATGAACATGAGCCGGCTTCAGTGTGCGCTCACAGCCCAGAAACCAACCGTGTCCTGGGCTGCATCCAAAGCAGCGTGACCAGCAGGTCCAAGGAGGTGATCCTGCCCCTCTGCACTGCTCTCGTGAGACCTCACCTGGAGCATTGTGTGCAGTTCTGGGGTCCTCAACATAAAAAGGACATGGAACTGTTGGAACAAGTCCAGAGGAGGCCACGAGGATGCTCAGGGGCTGGAGCACCTCCTGTATGAAGACAGGCTGAGAAAGTTGGGGCTGTTCAGCCTGGAGAAGAGAAGGCTGCGGGGAGACCTCAGAGCAGCTTCCAGTATCTGAAGGGGGCCTATAGGGATGCTGGGGAGGGACTCTTCATTAGGGACTGCAGTGACAGGACAAGGGGTAACGGGTTCAAACTGAAACAGGGGAAGTTTAGATTGGATCTAAGGAGGAAATTCTTTCCTGTGAGGGTGCTGAGGCACTGGAATGGGTTGCCCAGGGAGGTTGTGAATGCTCCATCCCTGGCAGTGTTCAAGGCCAGGTTGGACAGAGCCTTGGGTGCCATGGTTTAGTGTGAGGTGTCCCTGCCCATGGCAGGGGGCTGGAACTGGATGACCTTAAGGTCCTTTCCCACCCTATTTTATCATTCTAGGATTCTATAGACACCAAAACTGTATCAGAACTGCAGGGGATACCAGAGCTGTATTGAACCTTTGGTCCTTCCCTCAGATCTTCAAGCTCGTTTGGGATGAAGAGTTATCAACCAGGCAATGGAGACAGTGGTCACTGCCTTACCTCAAGGCTGAGCCTCCTTTTTGTGGGAACTACTTTCATTTAGTGCAATTTAGACACAAAACACCATGGTGCTGTCTCAGTCCTGCTAGTAAATAACTGATACTTATTTGGATGAATTCTTGAATACTCAGTCCATGCTTAAAATCACCTGAACCTGTTTGAAGAAAACCATTCATTCCCCAAACTCCTTCTGGCTGCATCAACACCTCCAAGACCAGTTCTCCTGCAGAGACCTACCCAGGAAGACAGGCCCAGGACAGTTTGCTCTGTCTTTCCCCATCTATCACATACCTCTTCCTTTCAGTGTTTCCTGAGGAAGCCCTTTACATCCACAGGGTTCATCTAATATTGCATTGAAGGGAGCTGAAAACAAGCACAACAAAGCATCCTCTGTGTGGATGGTTTGTGCTGGTCATGGGGAGTCCTTTCCATCACATGCATTTATTTCCATACTCTTTACTAGTGATTGTACAACATTTGGTCAAAAGCATTGGCTCAAAACGTGGCTGCTTTGAGGATATATCAGGATGAAGTCAGATTTCCCAGTCTTCATCTGAAGAATCCTGAGTGCCGCTGTGTCCTGAATGCTTCCTCTAGATGAAGAGACATTATAAAACCCTTGGTAGATAACTGATAACCTTGTCCCAGACATTTAGAAAAGACAAAGGATGGGGCAATGAGAGGAGAAAACTGAGCTATGAAAGTGTGGGGAAGGAAGAAGGAGAAGTACACAGGTGGCTTTAGATGTTTTCAATGTCAACCTGTTTTTCTGCTGGAAGGCACCAGACTGACAGTCCAGGAGATGCACTGGAGGAGGATAGAAAAGGATTTCTGAGTGGTTTTGAATGTCTTTCTTCCCCATTGAGTACTGGGCTAAACCGAAGTCTTGTGAAGTGGGAAAATCAATATAACAGAGGGAGAAATGACCCTCAACAAAATTTAGAAAAGAAGAATAATATAATTCAAAGATTATTGAAAAGAACAACATGAATCTGGAAAGAGGCACTAAGAATACCTGGGTGCGCTTGTGCAGGGTGAAAAATGCAGCTTGAAGTCCCAGAAGCAGACACCTGAGTATCGCACTTGCTCTATTCAGCTTCGTCAAGATACCCAGGCCAGCAGCACCTTGGCTGTTCAGGGGCGAGGAAGACCCCTGATCTTCCCTCCTAACAGCACTCAGGCTCTTTACACCCCTACTTAAATTGGCAGCAGAGCAGAGGCTCAGATATGACTTGTCCCCATTTAGCACAAGGGCTTTGTTGACCAACAGACTGTCAGAGCTGTTATTTCACAGAATTGCAGCCTGGTTTGTGTTGGAAGGGAGCTTAAAGCTCATCGAGGTCCAACCCCTGCCACAGGCAGGGACACCTTCCACTGGAGCAGCTTGCTCCAAGCCCCTGTGTCCAACCTGCCCTTGAACACTGCCAGGGATGGGGCAGCCACAGCTTCTCTGGGCACCCTGTGCCAGTGCCTCAGCACCCTCCCAGGGAAGAGCTTCTGCCTAAGAGCTCATCTCAGTCTCCCCTCTGGCAGGTTCAAGCCATTCCCCTTGGCCTGTCCCTACAGGCCCTTGGCCAAAGCCCTCCTGCAGGTTTCTTGTAGTCCCCTTCAGACACTGGAAGCTGCTCTGTGCACTCTAAGCAGCTTCTGAGCCTGGCCCCATACAGGAGGTGCTCCAGCCCCTGAGCATCCTTGTTGCATCTTTGGACTTGCTCCAGCAGCTCCATGTCCTCCTTGTGTTGGGGACACCAGAGCTGTATCAAATCCTCTTGACCTTCCCCTGTTCATCATTGAGGAAATGCTTATAAAGCAGGCAATGAAGACAGTGGTCAGTGCCTTATGTGAAGTCTGAGCCTCCTTTTTGTGGGCACTACTTTCATTTAGCACAATTTAAACACAAAACACCATGGTGCTGTCTCAGTCCTGCTATTAAATACCTGATACTTATTTGGATGAATTACTGAAGGCTCAGGCCTCGCTTAAAACCACCTGAACCTGTTTGAAGAGAACCATTCGTTGTGCTGGTTCTCCATACCCTGCACTTGCTGTAATAATGACCAGTAGTGAGTTATAATGACCAATAATGGCCAGTAATGCTCAATTCCATAATCACATATTCCACATATTCCTTCCTTACCTCCACAGTACTGAAGGGCTCCAAATGTGCTTTCAAACCCTGCAGAGATGTGGCAGCAGCTTTCGCTCCCACAGCCTCCTCAGAGCCGCCTTCACCTCCTTGTTCCTCAGGCTGTAGATGAGGGGGTTGAGGGCTGGGGTGAGGATGCAGTAACACACCGACACCAGCTTTCCCTGATCCCATGAGGATGCCTCATGAGGCTGGATGTAGGTGAGGATCCCGGGTGCGTAGAAGATGGTGATGGCAGCCAAGTGGGAGGTGCAGGTAGAGAAGACCTTCAGCCTCCTCGTGGCCAAAGGGATCTGCAGGACGGTGCGGAGGATGTAGGTGTAGGACACCAGGATCATCAGGAGGGAGACCATGGCATTAAACACAGTGTTGCAAACCTGCAAGACCTCATTTGTGCTTGTGTCTGAGCAGGAGAGCTGCAGGAGGGTGGGCAGCTCGCAGAAGAAGTGGTTGATGCTCCTGGCCTGACAGAAGGACAACCTCCCCGCCAGCGTGATGTGCACCAGGGAGGTGAGGAACCCGATGGTGTACACCAGCACCATCATGCCATAGCAACGTGCCCTGGTCATGGCAGTGGTGTAGAGCAGGGGCTTGCACACAGCCGTGTATCGGTCGTAAGCCATTACCCCATAGAGAAAGCTCTCACAGACAAGCAGAGCCAGGAAAATATACATCTGGGCAAAGCAGCCCCAAAAGGAGATGTGGCTTCTCCCCAGCAGGAAGGTCTCCAGAGCTTTTGGGATGATGGAGGAGGAAAGGCAAAAATCTATGCAAGATAAGTGGCTCAGGAAGAAGTACATGGGGATGTGGAGGTGGGGGTCAGTGTTGATCAGCAGGATCATCGTCAGGTTCCCCAGCACCATTAAAACATAGAGGGATAAGAAGACACTGAAGATGGTGGTTTGCAGCTCTGGGGCATCAGAGAAACCCAAGAGGATGAAGCTGGAGAGAACAGTGAGGTTTCCTGTGTCCATCATTTCAAATTGGATTGAAATGAAAGGAATCAGTGAAATACACCCCTACGAGAGAAATAATGTGGAAGTTTAGTTGGAGTTTAATTCATAAAGTAAATGCAAGGGAAAATGATGTATTTGTAATGCTGTATTTCTGTCTGTAGCCCAAGATCTGAAGTCAAAGAGGTGAGGGAGCTCATTACACAGCCTGAAATTAAAAGAATAATTCTACCATGATTGATATACACATCACAAATGAAACACTGAGAAACACCAAGTCTATCCAAATGTAATGCAATATAATCAAATAAGTACATCTCAAAATGTAAAACAGAAAAGAAATGTAAAACAGAAAAGGTTTTGCATTTGTTCACTGATTTCTAGGAATTCTAAGGATTTTTTTTCTCCCTTTTTTGTTTTTTTCAGAGTGGATCAGTGCTCTTCTGTAGATTCATTACTTGTGCTGCATCGTTTTCATCACAACACAAAGCCATGTACTTGACATTTGTTTTACGTTCTAAGTTTATCTGCTTTTGAAGAACCCCCACCCTGCATAATGTTAAGGGAAAGCAGTGGTCTTGGCTCCAGCAGAGCTTTGCTGTGATTTCAGTGAGCTGCCTATGACCAGCCCAAATATGCACCTAAGAATATAAAATATATCATATATAAATGAAAATTTTTAGGCTTTAGCTTGTATACTCTCATCTCCGCCATTCAACTCCTCTGCAGATGAATTATTTAATGGAATATCAATCTATGAATGGCTACATCAGTGCTAAAATACCCCTAAATCTGTAGTAGATGGGGTCAGGAACGTGGGTTTTTGAAGCAAAGCTACCCCGTACTAGGGCACTTTTCTTCACACCACAGGCTATCATAGAACGGTTTGGGTCGAATGGACCTCAAAAGGCATCCAGTCCCAACCTCCTGCCTAGAACCCCTACGCTGCATAAGGTTAAGGGAAAGCAGTGGTCTTGGCTCTAGCAGAGCTCTGCTGTGATTGCAGTGAGCTTCCTCTGACCAACCCAAATATCCACCTAAGGGTGTAAAATACAAAATATACCATATATAAACCAAAATTTTAAGGCTTTAGCTTGGATATTCTCATGCTAAAATATCGCTAAATCAGTTGTAGATGGGGTCAGGAACCTTGGTGATTTTGAAGCAAACCTACCCCATACTAGGGCACTTTTATTCACAGCATGGGTTATCATAGAACAGTTTGGGTTGAAGGGAAACTAAAGCTCACCCAGCTCCAAACCCTGCCATGGCCAGGAACGCCTTCCACCAGAGCAGCTTGCTCCAAGCTCCTGTGTCCAACCTGGCCTTGAACACTGCCAGGGATGGGGCAGCCACAGCTTCTCTGGGCACCCTGTGCCAGCGCCTCAGCACCCTCCCAGGGAAGAGCTTCTGCCTTATCTCCAACCTGAATTTCTCTGTTTCAGTTTAAACCCATCACCCCTTGCCCTATCGCTACAGTCCCTTAAGAAGACTGAAATTCAACATGTCATCAAGCATGTGAGAGGCAGCAGGACCAGGGTCAAACTGGACCCACCACCCATCAAACCCTTTTGTACCTGCTTGGTTAAAGAGGAAGGTGGTGGTGGATGCAGTGCCTGCAGCTCCTCCTGGAGCCCATGCGATGGATCGAAGGAGAGATGCTTGGGAGCAGGATGCTCCAGGCTGGCTGGTGGAGGGGTTTTATCTCACAGGAGGCATTACCTCAGAGGCTTGTGTTGTGCAAACTGTTCTCCCAAAGGACCCTCCTCCATCGGATAATTAGTTTGACTGGATCAGCAAAACAACCTCTCAAGTCCTCTCTCCCCAAACTCCATCAACACCTCCAAGACCAGTTCTCCTGCAGAGACCCACCCAGGAAGACAGGCCCAGGACAGTTTGCTTTGTATTTCCCCATCTATCACATACCTCTTTCTTTCACTGTTTACCTGAGGAAGCCCTTTACATCCACAGGGTTCATCTAATATTGCATTGGAGGGAGCTGAAAACAAGCACAACAAAGCATCCTCTGTGAATGGTTTGCGCTGGTTATGGGGACTCCTTTCCATCACATGCATTTATTTCCATACTCTTTACTAGTGATTGTACAAGCATTGTCAAAATGCAAGATTGTACAAGATTGTACAACATTTGGTCAAAAGCATTGGCTCAAAACGTGGCTGCTTTGAGGATATATCAGGATGAAGTCAGATTTCCCAGTCTTCATCTGAAGAACCCTGAGTGCCGCTGTGTCCCGAATGCTTCTCCTAGGTGAAGAGACATTATAAAACCCTTAGGAGAAATATTCAATGATAACCTTGTCCCAGACATTTAGAAAAGACAAAGGATGGGACAGATAGAAGAGAAAACCAAGATATGAAAATATGGGGAAGCAAGAAAGAGAAGAATGTAGATGGCTTTAGATGTTTTCAATGTCAACCTGTTTTTCTGCTGGAAGGCACCAGACTGACAGTCCAGGAGATGCACTGAAGGAGGGAAGGAAAGGATTTCTGAGTGGTTTTGAATGTCTTTTTTCCCCATTTAGTACTGGGCTAAACCGAAGGCTTGGGGAGTGGGAAAATCAATATAACAGCGGGAGAAATAACCCTCAACCAAATTTAGAAAAGAAGAAAAATATATAATTCAAAGTTTCTTGAAAAGAACTACATGAAGGCAAAAAGAGGCACTAAGAATACCTGGGTGTGCTTGTGCAGGGTGAATAATGCAGCTTGAAGTCCCAGATGCAGACAGCTGGGTACTGCACTTGCTCCATCAGCTTCGTCAGAGGACCCAGGCCAGCAGCACCTTGGCTGTTCAGGGGTGAGGAAGACCCCTGATCCTCTCTCCTACCTGCACTCAGGCTCTTTACACCCCTACTTAAATTCTCAGCAGAGCAGAGGCTCAGATATGACTTGTCCCCATTTAGCACAAGGGCTTTGTTGACCAACAGACTGTCAGAGCTGTTATTTCACAGAATTGCAGCCTGGTTTGTATTGGAAGGGAGCTTAAAGCTCATCCAGGTCCAACCCCTGCCACAGGCAGGGACACCTTCCACTGGAGCAGCTTGCTCCAAGCCCCTGTGTCCAACCTGCCCTTGAACACTGCCAGGGATGGGGCAGCCACAGCTTCTCTGGGCACCCTGTGCCAGTGCCTCAGCACCCTCCCAGGGAAGAGCTTCTGCCTAAGAGCTCATCTCAGTCTCCCCTCTGGCAGGTTCAAGCCATTCCCCTTGGCCTGTCCCTACAGGCCCTTGGCCAAAGCCCTCCTGCAGGTTTCTTGTAGTCCCCTTCAGACACTGGAAGCTGCTCTGTGCACTCTAAGCAGCTTCTGAGCCTGGCCCCATACAGGAGGTGCTCCAGCCCCTGAGCATCCTTGTTGCATCTTTGGACTTGCTCCAGCAGCTCCATGTCCTCCTTGTGTTGGGGACACCAGAGCTGTATCAAATCCTCTTGACCTTCCCCTGTTCATCATTGAGGAAATGCTTATAAAGCAGGCAATGGAGACAGTGGTCAGTGCCTTATGTGAAGTCTGAGCCTCCTTTTTGTGGGCACTACTTTCATTTAGCACAATTTAAACACAAAACACCATGGTGCTGTCTCAGTCCTGCTATTAAATACCTGATACTTATTTGGATGAATCACTGAAGGCTCAGGCCTCGCTTAAAACCACCTGAACCAGTTTGAAGAGAACCATTCGTTGTGCTGGTTCTCCATACCCTGCACTTGCTGTAATAATGACCAGTAGTGAGCTATAATGACCAATAATGGCCAGTAATGCTCAATTCCATAATCACATATTCCACATATTCCTTCCTTACCTCCACAGTACTGAAGAGCTCCAAATGTGCTTTCAAACCCTGCAGAGATGTGGCAGCAGCTTTCGCTCCCACAGCCTCCTCAGAGCCCCCTTCACCTCCTTGTTCCTCAGGCTGTAGATGAGGGGGTTGAGGGTTGGGGTGAGGATGCAGTAACACACCGACACCAGCTTTCCCTGATCCCATGAGGATGCCTCATGAGGCTGGATGTAGGTGAGGATCCCGGGTGCGTAGAAGATGGTGATGGCAGCCAAGTGGGAGGTGCAGGTAGAGAAGACCTTCAGCCTCCTCGTGGCCAAAGGGATCTGCAGGACGGTGCGGAGGATGTAGGTGTAGGACACCAGGATCATCAGGAGAGGGCCCACGGTGTTTAACACAGCGTGGTAAACCTGGAAGACCTCATTTGTGCTTGTGTCTGAGCAGGAGAGCTGCAGGAGGGTGGGCAGCTCGCAGAAGAAGTGGTTGATGCTCCTGGCCTGACAGAAGGACAACCTCCCCGCCAGCGTGATGTGCACCAGGGAGGTGAGGAACCCGATGGTGTACACCAGCACCATCATGCCATAGCAACGTGCCCTGGTCATGGCAGTGGTGTAGAGCAGGGGCTTGCACACAGCCGTGTATCGGTCATAAGCCATTACCCCAAGGAGGAAGCACTCACAGATACCCAGAGCCACAAAAATATACATCTGGGCAAAGCAGCCCCAAAAGGAGATGTGGCTTCTCCCCAGCAGGAAGGTCTCCAGAGCTTTTGGGATGATAGCAGAGGAAAGGCAAAAATCTATGCAAGATAAGTGGCTCAGGAAGAAGTACATGGGGATGTGGAGGTGGGGGTCAGTGTTGATCAGCAGGATCATCGTCAGGTTCCCCAGCACCATTAAAACATAGAGGGATAAGAAGACACTGAAGATGGTGGTTTGTAGCTCTGGGGCATCAGAGAAACCCAAGAGGATGAAGCTGGAGAGAACAGTGAGGTTTCCTGTCTCTGTCATTTCAACAAGTTGATGGATTTGGATTGAAATGAAAGGAATCAGTGAAATACACCCCTACGAGAGAAATAATGTGGAAGTTTAGTTGGAGTTTAGTCCATAAAGTAAATGCAAGGGAAAATGGTGTATTTGTAATGCTGTATTTCTGTCTGTAGCCCAAGATCTGAAGTCAAAGAGGTGAAGGAGCTCATTACAGAGCCTGAAATTAGAAGAGAATAATTTTACCATGATTAATACACACATCACTACTGAAACACTGCAAAACATCATGTCTATCCAAACGTAATACAATAAAATCAAAGAAGTACATCTCCAAATGTGGAAAGAAGAAAAGATTTTGTATTTTCTTCACTGATTTCTGGGAATTTAAAGATTATTTTTCTCTCTTTTTTGTTTTTTTTGAGTGGATCAGTGCTCTTCTGTAGATTCATTACTTGTGCTGCATTGTTTTATTCACAACACAAAGCCATGTACTTGACATTTGTTTTACGTTCTAAGTTTATCTGCTTTTGAAGACCCCCCACCCTCCATAATGTTAAGGGAAAGCAGTGGTCTTGGCTCCAGCAGAGCTTTGCTGTGATTGCGGTGAGCTGCCTATGACCAACCCAAATATGCACCTAAGGGTGTAAAATATATCATATATAAACCAAAATTTTAAGGCTTTAGCTTGGATATTTTTATCTCCAGCATACAATGCCTCTGCAGATGAATTATTTAATGGAATGTCAATCTATGAATGGCTACATCAGTGCTAAAATACCCCTAAATCTGTAGTAGATGGGGTCAGGAATGTGGGTTTTTGAAGTAAAGCCACCCTGTATTAGGGCACTTTTATTCACACCGCAGGCTATCATAGTATTGTTTGGGTTGAATGGACCTTAAAAGTCATCCAGTCCAACCTCCTGCCAAGAACCCCCACGCTGCATAAGGTTAAGGGAATGCAGTGGTCTTAGCTGTAGCAGAGCTTTGGTGGGATTGCAGTGAGCTTCCTATGAGCAAACCAAATACGCACCTAAGGGTGTAAAATACAAAAACCATAAAATATAAACCACAATTTTAAGGCTTTAGCTTGGATATTCTCATGCTAAAATATCGCTAAATCAGTTGTAGATGGGGTCAGGAGCATTGATGTTTTTGAAGCAAACCTACCCCATACTAGGGCACTTTTATTCACAACAGGGTTTATCATAGAACGGTTTGGGTTGAAGGGAAACTAAAGCTCACCCAGTCCCAACCCACTGCCACCAACAGGGACCCCTTCTACCGGAGCAGCTTGCTCCAAGCCCCTGTGTCCAACCTGCCCTTGAGCACTGCCAGGGATGGGGCAGCCACAGCTTCTCTGGGCACCCTGTGCCAGCGCCTCAGCACCCTCCCAGGGAAGAGCTTCTGCCTTAACTCCAACCTGAATTTCCCTGTTTCAGTTTAAACCCATCACCCCTTGCCCTATCGCTACAGTCCCTGAAGAAGAGTGAAATTCAACATGCCATCAAGCATGTGAGAGGCAGCACGACCAGGGTCAAACTGGAGCCACCACCCATCAAACCCTTTTGTACCTGCTTGGTTAAAGAGGAAGGTGTTGGTGGATGCAGTGCCTGCAGCTTGTCCTGGAGCCCATGCGATGGATCGAAGGAGAGATGCTTGGGAGCAGGATGCTCCAGGCTGGCTGGTGGAGGGGTTTTATCTCACAGGAGGCATTACCTCAGAGGCTTGTGCTGTGCAAACTGTTCTCCCAAAGGACCCTCCTCCATCGGATAATTAGTTTGACTGGATCAGCAAAACAACCTCTCAAGTCCTCTCTCCCCAAACTCCTTCAGGCTGCATCAACACCTCCAAGAGCAGTTCTCCTGCAGAGACCCACCCAGGAAGACAGGCCCAGGACAGTTTGCTCTGTCTTTCCCCATCTATCACATACCTCTTCCTTTCAGTGTTTCCTGAGGAAGCCCTTTCCATCCACAGAGATCATCTAATATTGCATTGAAGGGAGCTGAAAACAAGCACAACAAAGCATCCTCTGTGTGAATGGTTTGCGCTGGTCATGGGGACTCCTTTCCATCACATGCATTTATTTCCATACTCTTTACTAGTGATTGTACAAGACTTTGGTCAAAAGCATTGGCTCAAAACGTGGCTGCTTTGAGGATATATCAGGATGAAGTCAGATTTCCCAGCCTTCATCTGAAGAATCCTGAGTGCCGCTGTGTCCTGAATGCTTCTCCTAGATCAAAACACATTATAAAACCCTTAGGAGAAATATTCAATGATAACCTTGTCCCAGACATTTAGAAAAGACAAAGGATGGGGCAAACAGGGGAGAAAACAGCTCTGAAAGTGTGGGGAAGGAAGAAGAAGTATACAAATGGCTTTAGATGTCTTCAATATCAACCTGTTTTTCTGCTGGAAGGCACCAGACTGACAGTCCAGGAGATGCACTGGAGGAGGATAGAAAAGGATTTCTGAGTGGTTTTGAATGTCTTTTTTCCCCATTGTGTACTTGGCTAAAACCATGGTTTGTGACATGGGAAAATCAATATAACAGAGGGAGAAATAACCCTCAATCAAATTTAGAAAAGAAGAAAAAAATATAATTCCAAGATTATTGAAAAGAATGACATGAAGGCAAAAAGAGGCACTAAGAATACCTGGGTGCGCTTGTGCAGGGTGAAAAATGCAGCTTGAAGTCCCAGAAGCAGACACCTGAGTATCGCACTTGCTCCATCAGCTTCGTCAGGGGACCCAGGCCAGCAGCACCTTGGCTGTTCAGGGGCGAGGAAGACCCCTGATCTTCCCTCCTAACAGCGCTCAGGCTCTTTACACCCCTACTTAAATTCTCAGCAGAGCAGAGGCTCAGATATGACTTGTCCCCATTTAGCACAAGGGCTTTGTTGACCAACAGACTGTCAGAGCTGTTATTTCACAGAATTGCAGCCTGGTTTGTGTTGGAAGGGACCTTAAAGCTCATCCAGGTCCAACCGCAACACTTTCCAGTAGAGCAGCTTGCTCCAAGCCCCTGTGTCCAACCTGCCCTTGAACACTGCCAGGGATGGGGCAGCCACAGCTTCTCTGGGCACCCTGTGCCAGTGCCTCAGCACCTTCACAGGGAGCAACTTCTGCTTAATAACTCACCTCAATATCCCCTCTGTCATTTCACGTGACCAAACCTTGTGGTCTGGACTTGAAATACCTGGAAACATCAGTTAATATTTGCTTAAAACCAGAAATAACACCAGAAATCATTTGCTAATATAAAACATGAGCTTAGATACCAGCCGGTTTGATGCCAGCAGAGCAAAGCCATCACCTTCTCCCTTTTGCTCTCTGAAGACTGAAATAAAGTTTATTGTTATGTTTAATAGCATTTAAATCATAAAATATATAAATTTCAAGTAATATTTAAGTAACAATCACTTTGGACAACATCTTTCTTTCCAATACACAGTCACTGTCAGGTCTCAGGCTGCAGCCAGAGAAAATCCTTTCCATCCTAGCACAGAATGTAGCCTTGGTTTAAGGAGAAGCGTGTTTTCCAGCTGTCATGCTTCCAAGTATGTTTAGTCCCTTCTTTGTGACGGTGCTATACCCACCCATCCTTGAAGGTGCTATATCCAACCATCCTCTTCAAGGTGCAACATCCAGCCACCCTTGAAGGTGCAATATCCAGCCTGCTTGTTCTCCTCACCATGGCAGGGTAGCCCTCTCCTTTCAGCTGACTAGGAACCATGAACGGACAAAGAGGAGAGGACTCTATTCTTTGCTTTCCTCATGGCGTTCTTCATATCCGCATTCCTTAGGCTGTAGATGAGTGGGTTCAGCATGGAGACCACCTCGAGGACTGGCTGGAGCTGGGCTGCAGGTACAGGAAGAGGGAGCTGCCATAGTACAAAGCAATGGAGATGAAGTGAGAGGCACAGGTGGAGAAAGCTTTGCGTCAACCAGCCACAGACCGCATCCGCATGACAGTGGAAAGGACCGACAAGTAGGAGATGAGGATGAAGACCGTGGTGCTCAGTACCTTGAACCCCACCACGGCAGCAACCATCACCTCGATGGCATGGGTGTCAGAGCAGGAGAGGGCTAGCAGTGGTGGTCCATCACAGAAGAAGTGAATGATTGTCTTGGACCGACAGAACGGAAGACGAGATATGGAAACCGAGTGAATGGTAGAGCTGATCACGCCAGCTAGGTAGGCACCAGCCAACATCCCAATGCAAAGCCTTTGGGACATGACCGTGGAGTAGAGAAGGGGGTTACAAACGGCCATGTAGTGATTGTAAGCCATAGCAGCCAGCACATAGCACTCGGTGGTGGCACAGGTTGCAAAGGAGAAGAGCTGAGTGGCACATCTAATGAAGGACATCACCTTCTTCTCCACTAGAACATTCAGCAAGGCTTGAGGGATGATGGTAGAGGAGTAGCAGACATCCAGGAGAGGCAAGTGGCTTAGGAAGAAGTACATGGGAGTGTGTAGGCAGGAATCCATTCTGATTAATGCAATTACTCCCACATATCCTATGAAGGTAACGGCATAGATGGCAAGGAATAAGACAAAGCACATCACCAGCAGGTCTTCCCTGCTTGTGAAGCCCAGCAGAATTGTTGCAGAATGGCTCTAAGAGCAAGGCCATGGAGCCTTAGAGGCCTTGTGCGAGCAAGGCAAGGGGCAGGCCTCACAGGTAACCGGATACCGGATGTGGGAGGAGAACGTGGAGGAAGCTGTGTAGAACTGACCAAGACTGTTGTGACTCGAGGCGTGGCTAAACACCACGCGGATACAAGCGAAGTGCGCCACAAATAAAGTAGAAGTTTGCTTATCACCCATATGGGGTTGGCGTGTCTTGCTTCTCCTCGTCGCTTACACAGAATAAACTCAGAGGGGGACATATAATTATCTTCAACCACAGTGAACCTATGAGCAGTTTCCCTGCTTTATGTCTTTAAACTGAAATGCTGAATAGGCCCAAATCCCTCAATAATGTTAAGAATGTCAGGTTTTGTCTATCAATCAG